TAATGTGAAGACCACCACTAAAAAAGACACATATATCCAAAATCATACTACAGATTCTTTATTCAATATGACTATAAGTACAACTCCTTTTAAGAAACCATATCTCAGTAGTAACATTTTTACATGCCATATTTCTTTTCCTCATTGAGCTTATTGGTACATTGTAGGTATACAGTACAGTTACATTCATCTTTGGGATCTTGTACCTTTATATGACAGGTCTTGGTTCTCATTTTTTCCCCATATCCCTGCCCTCCTTTCACCCCTCCTCCCTTTACATGCTACATTTTTAAAATATAACATCCCCATAACAATGCCTTACATATGGGTTGTGCAGTTAGATTTTTTAAGTTACTTTCATACCTTTTTCCATCTGGTCCTCTCTCTTATCTCCTTTCTTAGCAGGAGTTACAGGAGGCTAATGAGATTCCAATGTTACATTTCTTCCCCTTTGTAGTATGACTTACTAGGGCGAGACGTAGTGGACATGCCAACCCTGTGCTGAAATGCCATACTGTAGTTGTGTGTAGGTGTGAGTGCACACATAATGCATTCTAACATTTTGACGTGCGCCTTACATTTAAAACTAATCCAAGATCCATTCATAGTCTAACCATTAAGCCAGTTTTATACCAACTGCTTGGTGTCTATAAGTAAAGAGTGGTAATGACCTTGGTCCCATTAATGAATGAGAACAAGGAAATCCCAGAGATTAGAAAACATCAAGGGTCAGGCTCAAGACTAGATGGCAGAGCTTGATCCTCTGTCTAACTCAGTTCTGAGAACCCAAGCAAATTTTCAAGCATCTGGGAGGTAGAGCCTGCTTACTTCTGGCTAAGCCATCCAAAGAGCTTTACATGGAAACTACTAATATATCTATAATCAGAGAAACTCAGAATTAAGGTGCCAGGAATCTCTTTACACTGACATATGCAATTTTTCCCTTGCATTGTGAATATACCACTCTACATTTCTAAATATATGCAGAAAACTATCTTACCATAAGTCAACAAAAATTTCTAATATCATATTAAATTTACCTGGCCGGGCTTCACACTTCCCCAAGTCTGGCCAGCTATTTTATATGAAATTATTGTCCTATAAGTACCCTTTTTCCAGTTAGTTTTTATTGGGATCCAAACACATTCCTTACAGTTGGTCATTATATATCTGATGTCCCCCTTTGCCTCTCTCTGAATTATTCCTTTCCTTTTAAAAGCCTGCAGTTCCCAGGCAGCACTGAAATGCACTGTGAGTGACTTTACAAAGCAGTTGCTTTCCTATTAAGACATCACTGATTTAAAGAACCATTTTCTTTAGGTTTGCTCTAGAGCCTCTGCTGCCAAAGAAAATGCATTCCAGGTCCCAGGACAAGCTGGACAAGGATGACCCAGACAAGGAGAAGAAAGACAAGAAGAAGGAAAAAAGGAACAGCAAACATCAAGAGATATTTGATAAAGAATTTAAGCCAACTGACATCTCCCTGCAGCAGTCGGAGGCTGTGATTCTCTCAGAAACGGTATTTTAACTGGGGATTTTCCCTTTGCCTAGACTTGCCTCTGTTTTACATTTAGCCCGTGGGGCTGTCAATTTTATTTTACTGAATTTTTTGTAAAATAATGATTTGAAGATCTTGGGTCTCCTTAAACCCTAACTTTGAATAACTGAATACTATAGGGCAATCAGAAATGAAGAATAGAGCCTTTTTTCTCAGGAAGATGTTGTCTTAGCCTTCATCCTCCATTCCAAAGCTCTGGTAGGGTCATTCTCCATCAGGGCCCTCACATTCTGGGCTCTTTGCAACTCTGTTGGACTGCCCTAGTAGCTCAGAAGATAAACAGCATGTTTTTGTTGTCAAAAAGCCATATTCCATATCAATTAATGCCTCCCTTGCCCCTTTCTGACTAGAAATCTCTAAGCAACAGTCACTGCCAAAGTGTTATGATCTGCTCAGTTAGAATCCAAAAGCCCTTCCCCTCTGGATTCTTCTAGCTGGACTCAGTGTCCTATTATCCTCCTGGTTTCATCTCCTCCACATTCAAATCTCTTGGCCATCTTTCAAAAGGATTTGCAGGGATTTAACATGATACGTGCTGGAGAGTTGATATTAGAAACAGATTTCAGTGACATGTGTTCATCCCAGAGTTATAAGCATGCAGAGGCAGTGAAATTGAAGGGGTTTTCTGATTCAAGAAATGGCTATGGCGGTGGGCCTCCCTGAAATGCAGTGTTATGTTGGAGGTCCAAGTACAGAAATGAGTCCCAGGTGGCTTCTGAAAGTGCTGTTTGGACTGGAACAAAAATAGAGAGAGGGTCTCGCAGGCTGTCCTCTTTGAAGGTGGAATCATGCTTGAAGCCAGCTTCCCACAGCAACAGATGAGCATCTGTATGGTCAGTGGACAGCTGTGCACCTTTCTTGCCAGTATTCTATGACCTGGCCCGCTCTATCTTGGCTGGGATTAAATGGAGGTTTGCTTCATTAAAAAGCTTAGATGGGACCACTTATTACTTCCTTGCTTGTTTGTATTTTACAAACTAGAAAGTATGTTCTGGCTCCAACAGTGTTCATATGTTGCTTGCTTATCTAGCCCAAAGGGCATAACATAAATTTTGTCATAAAGGCACAGAAACTTAGTTTGTATAATATCCAGAATATTTCTATTGATGAATTAATTGATTTTAACTTTATGAGTTATATTAAACAATGGGTATTTAACAAGAAAAAACAAAAAAATAAAGTATTGAATGTTTAGTATTTATTGAGTGTTCATAAAAAAGGCACCAAAATGTTCAATATCAATTGGTTTTTGGTGTACAATGTCTAAAAAATAACAACAGAAATAAATTTCTATGTGAACCACAATGAAAATACCAATACCAAAAAAAAAAAAAAAAAAAAAAAAAAAAAACATATTCACTTCAATTATCACACCTAAAGCAGTCTTCACATGTGACAACAGCACGTTCCATACACATGTATCACTTACACACTGATAGCACATGTATTTTTGCTTTCCTGACCTTTTTGTAGGACATACTTGACATCTTGCTTATTATATTGCACAATGTGCAGTTAACAGGAACATAAAATATCAATAAAATATAAAATTATTAATATGTATTAGAACAAACATCAACATTTTCACATGAGCTGTGTTCTTGCTTTCAAAACCTAAAAGATAACATCAGAAATAAATTCCTATGTGAACTGCAAGGAAAATACCAATAGAACTCTACCACAAAAATAATCTTTGCAGGGCCGGGGATTTAGCTTAGCGGTTCGGTGGCCTGCCTTGCAAGCGCAAGGACCTGAGTTCAATCCCTGGTACAAAAAAATAAATAAATAAATAATAATAATCATCATCATCATCATCTTTGCTTCAGTTATCACACCCAAGGCAGTCCTCTCATGTGACAACTGCATGTTCCATGCACACATCTCACTCACAGTGACAGCACATGTGCTTAGCTTTCCTTTCCCATGTGGCAGGCCATTCTTGTATCCTCTCTTCTGTTTTGTCAGGAGCTTCCTACTATATTGTACCATGTGCACTTAGCAGGAAAATAAGATATTAATAAAATAAAATATAAAATATAGGATGAGTACTTAAAATAGACATCAGCATTTTCACATCAGCTATTTACTTGCTTACAAAATCTAAAAGATAACATCAGAAATAAAAACCTATGTGAACTGCAATATATACAAACAAAAGTCTACCATGAAACAATCTTCATTTCAACTGTCATATCCAAGACCGTCTTCACACATGAATATTGCACGCTTTATACATAAGTATTGCTTACAGTCATAGGATGTATGTTTTGTTTTCCTATCCTTCCTTGTAGGTGACAGTTGACATCTTTGTGGCTTTCCTGTTGTTGTTGTAGTAGGTCTTTGTGATGTTGTGCCTACCTGTTCACCTATCAGCTCACCCGTGTGCTCCACAGTTCTTCTGCACAGTTCCCTGGGCAGGAACATTTTGTTTTTCCTATGCTATAAATGATCTCTTATGAGTTCCAGTTCCAATCTGCTAAGAAAATTTCTCCATGGTACTTTGTACTTGTTATTTTCTTTGTAAGTGATCAAAGTATTTATGCCACACGTTAAGGATTGAGTAAAACACAACCATTGGCCAACGCTTTGTGTTTTAAGTTGCATCATAGTTGCTGCATAACTTATCAATAACATCTCTTCCACCTTTGGTTTTGTTGTAGACAGTTTCTCAGTAACTCAGGCTTCTGTTTTGTTGAGGTTTCCCTGTCAAATGTTCATCATGGTACAATGTTAACATCAGCAGTACCAGTTTGGGTTTTTTTGCCATATACAAGGCCAGTATAAACCTTTCTGAAATCCAAAGATTGTATGATACAATCCTGTTTTGAAATTGCAGCATTTCATTTAGAATTTCTGCTTTGTTCTTGCATACAGCTCCTACACTAGTCAACTCATGCTCTGTTAACAAATGTAGCATCCATTGGAAACTGGTAAACCAAGTCTCGAATGTCACATTCCAATTAGTTTGGGAGATTGGAGCAACAAATGTGTTCATGACATCATTCAGTTTATTACTTTGCAAATAAGGATCTGTGGCTAAGTGCCAGATAAATTTCTAAATTGAAGGCATAATGAATCTTCGAATCTATAAGGGTATAAATTTATATGTCATATTTTGACCCATTACTTTTCCATAAGTCTTTTACATTCCTGCAATTACCATGAGAAATACCTGCTAAATAAAGTAGCCCTATGAGTGCTTTCAGTTCATCTAGTGAGGTGTTATAATAAATGCATTTTAATATGACTATTGGTGCATACCGAACTTTTTATTTGTATTTCATCCTTTCTATATTTCACATATTTCTCAAGATTTTTTAGCATTTCATTTGTTACAGTTTCCAACATTGAATAGCAGTGCTGCCATTCTATCCAATAGGTTTCACCTCTGCAAAGATCCTCCCTATATTTTCAAACCTAGTTCTAACATTGGATTGTACCATCTTCATCCATGCACGAATAATCTGATGATTCAGTTTTGACCTCCTCCAAAACTTGTAAATTCTGGTTTTTCATGTGCCGTTGTACTGAATTGGACTACTTCTAGAAAAATCAAATAAAACCTTTTTAAAGCAAATTCTAAATGCACAGAAATTTAGCAATGAGCATTTCATGGTCAAACTCACCTGTTGCTGCTTTGGAGCTCCCATATACACCTTGCCGTTCATCTGCCAAGTGAGCAAATACGTAGATGGGTTTTTGCTTTCCCAAGGTGCAACTACTGTGAGTCACACCAACATTCTATTATGATAAAATATTTGCTTTCATAACAGAAGAATGTTGTGGGTGTATCTTAACCCTGTGATGCTCATATGCAAGACTTGTTAGATGGAGCATTATGTGGGTAAAAGTCCTGGTGTGACACTTTTGCACATATTCACAGACGTTGCCCTTCATTGCACCAAGTAAGTAAACTCAAAGATTGCCCCAAGAACAGCTACTGAGAGGCACAGCTGACTGCTATTATGCTAAAGTACAAATTTTTAGTAGAAACATATGGGATGGGTTGTTACAACCCAAAGTTACCCTCTTTAGGCTAGAGGCAGAAGGCAGGTAAGTGCCAGAGCAGTGATGTGCCAGAGCAGTGACAAGGCAAATGCCACTGTGAGGCTTGTGGATGGGTGCTCTGAAGTTGGGCTCCAGTGTCTCAGTGTAGCACACAAGTGGCCAAGGGCATTAGGCTTAAGGGAGGCACTACCCAGAGACTGCCATTTGGTGTCCAGGCAGTGGACCTCAATTAGTGGATTGAAATTCTCTTGAGTCTCCCTGCATTTTCTGTCCACTGTCTGGAATTCATGGAAGCAATGACCCCAAAACACCGAGACCTCTCAAGCCCCAGCTGGATTCCTCAAGCCTCACAATTTCATAATTGGGAAGGGAATTAACAAAAGCATGTTTTTAATATTCACCAAGTGTCAGTCATTGTGTCTTTCAACATGTTTTGTGTAAGTGCTATTCAAAGATATCAAAACAGAGGCCTCCAAGCAGTGGAGCCAAGTGGCAGAGTCAACCATAGTGCATTGTATGAACAGAAGTCCAGGGACACAGAAGGCATTGAGCCTTCACAGTGCAATTTCTGCACCTCCTTGTGGTGGCCCAGTCTCTCTATGAGGGCTCCTTCAAATGACAGGACCAGGTGCAATATACATGGGCCTCCCCACAACTGACTCTAAATTCCTTGAATACATTCATAGGAGCTCAGGAAGGGCTGAACACAGGACCTTGTCCTCACTATCAGCATGTGACCAAGGCTCCAAATAACCACTGCTATAATGACAGGAGATCAGGCTTCCTGCCCTCTCAGTGGATCCAGTCTAGCTACCCATCTTGCACAGGCACTAGCAAAGTCTGTGAGGATACTCAGGCTCTTGGAGTTTCCTAGACAGGACCCTGAGAGGGCAGGGCAGGAGGGCCAGCACTGGGAGGAGGTTCCCTCCAGAGAAATAGCAGCACATTCCTTGGGGCAACACTGGTGCCCCCTGGTGTCCGCTTGGCACCTGGCCCTGCCATTGCCCTCCCTCCCACTGGCTTCTCTAGCTTCTGCATATTTCTCACCTTAGCAGAGGCTGGACTCAGCTTCCTACTTGATCTACATTATCAGCAATTTCATGACCTTTAACTGAGTGCTGTGAATTGGGGTCTCAAGTCTGCCATCTGCATCTTCTTATGAAAGCCTCTGGCACTCTCTGACTCAGAAAATGTCCTATGATGTAACAGATAGAGAAGGATGAGAGAAGTTCCCAACAGTTCCTGAATCCCTGTCACCAGCCCATATGCACAACCATCCTGCCTAGGGTGCAGCCAGGCATTTCTAGACATCCCCCAGTATTGAGGGTACCAGGACTCAGCCATTCTCTGCAGTGAATTGATGACAACTGGGTGTAGGTCTCTCATCACACGGTGCTTCTTAAGGGGGCTCTTGGCCAAGGCCCTGGGCCACTCTTTACTTGAGGGCCTACTTCTTTCCTTCCAGCTTACGTAGCCTCTAGATGAGCACTGGCTTTGTGGGCATCTTCTGAGATGATCTGACTGCCGTGTCCCACCCTCCCACCCCCTCTGCTGCTGCCACTACGAGGTCACTCAATCTGGCTGCGGCACCAAGCCTAGACCTGCTACTTGCCTGTCCTTCCTGGGGAGACAGTCTCCACTGCTGCATTTTGGCAGGGTGAATAACTTCTGATTACTCCTACCTCAATATTTTGTAATCGCTGGCATACTCTGAGGCCTAATGATCTGAGACCAAGTTGCAAGGAATACATAAATAAAATTTACTCATGTAACAAAGGAAAGGGGTCAGGTGGATAAGGTCAAATTTATTTAAAAGTCAGAAATAATAAAAGAAGAATAGAGAAAAAGAATTCCTACCCAGAAATGATACAGTGCAAGAGAAGAAAGGAAAAACAAAAACTCTACAGGAAGTTTCTAGACTTTTACTCCACTTTACTACCCTTTGGGGGCATCTGAATTGTTTACCACAGCTGCGCCACTCTTATTTTATGTTCCTGAAGGCTGTGAAGTGCTGTCCACCCCTAGGCTGTATGGATAGAGTAGTGTGAGACCCTGTGTTCATGTGATCTGGCTGCTTTAACGAAGTTTAGCAAACACACAGTGGCTAATTTAAAAGCAGAATTTCTTTTCTTTTCTGGGGACTAGAAGTCGAAGATCAAGGTTTCAACAGTGCTGAGAGGGAGAATCTGTTCAATATCCTACCCTCTAACTTCTGGGATCTTTGGTGTTCTTTGGCTTATAGAACTATCATCCTATCTGTATCTTCACAGGATGTTCTCCCTGTCTACATGTCAGTGTACAGATTTCCCTCTTTCATAAGCACCCCAGTAACATTGGATTATGGTCTGCCTTAGTGACATCATCCTGACTAGATGGTTTACAAAGCCCTTATCTCCAGGTATATACAGCATGAGGTACTCAGGATGAGGGCTTCAGCATAGGAATTTTAATTATTTTATTTATTTATTTAGGTACCGGGGATCGAACTCCAGTCCTTGTACTTGCGAGGCAGGCAGTGGAACCACTGAGCTAAATTAGCGTAGGAATTTTTAAAAGAGTCACGACTTAGAACATAACACACCTTAACTATACTCTGTCTGTCCCTCCAACATAGATAAGCCCCCTGCGGCCCCAGAGACCAAAGAGCCAGGTGATCAACATCATTGGAAGTGAAAGGCGCTTCTCGGTGTCCCCAACATCACAGTCCTCCCAGCAGACACCTCCTCCCGTCACACCCAGGGCCAAGCTCAGCTTCAGTGTTCAGTCAAGTAAGTGGACCCTTTCTCACCTTGTAGTCTGTGACAGTGCCCCATGGTGTTCCCTTGATTAGTGACTCTATAGTGAGGATCCTCTCTTCCTGGCAGCAGATCAAGAGTTGGGACGAATACCTGATATACGGGGAAGTCCCTCTGGTCGGGATGGAGAATGTGGACTTAAGCAAATCAGCCAAGACCCTGTCGTAAGCATCAGCGCTCCGTGGGCAGAGTGTGTGGTGTCTGTCTCAGGCTCTGAAATTCTCCCTGCCTTGGGAGGGGGCTTGAGAGGCACAGGGGCAGCCCTCTTTTCTCAGCATGAGCCATCAAGGCATCCAAGGGCTTTCTCGTCTACAGAAAGAACACACAGTGGAGAATCCCTTCCAGGCAGGGTAGAAAGGCACAGGGACACAACTCACTTCTCTGGTTTTGCCCATATTCTAGAGCTGCCATTGCAAAATATCATAGACTTGGTGGCCTGAAGCAGCAAAAATATATTCTCATAATTCTGGCCAGAATTGATCTTCTTGATCTCAGAAGACTGAGATCAAGGCGTTGATAATTTGGTTCCATCTGGAGGCTTTGAGGAGGAATCTAGTCCATGCCTCTCTCTCAGCAATCCCTGGTATTCCTGGGCTTATGGCCACATCACTCTGGCCTCTGCCTTCATCTTCATCTGGCCTCCCTGTGTCTTCTCTTATAAGAACATCAGTAATTGGATGTAGGGCCCATCATAAATCCAGGATGATTTCATCTTGAGAAACTAGTTGCATTTTCAAAGACTGTATTTCCAAGTAAAGTCACATGTGGACGTTCTTCCTCTGGGTGGACCCCAGAAGTCCACATTTTGTAGGGAAACTGTCCAACCTACTACATGTGATAACCAGCATTTCAGCACCAAATTCAGACCCATCAGAGAGGAATCTTGGCAAGAAGTGGGAGGGAGCCCACTCCATCCTGTATCCAGGAAAGGGCTCCAAGGCAGGACAGCATGTGCCCTGTGGAGTGGATGTGCAAGGTAGCCAAAAGTGTCCTTTGCACTTGATTTTCTTCTTAACTGAAGGGGCACGGGTGGTGATTCTGGAGGCCACATGGGGGTCACTGTGTCTTGGCTACAAGTGTGGGCACTGGAAAGGAGGTGACCTCTGAGTGGCACATCTCCAAATCTGTTATTGCTACATGATCTTTCTCTAAAGACATCTTTTACATTTCTTTAAAATATTTAAACCAGATACCATTGCAGCAATTACAGAGAATAGTCTAGTTGCTCCACCCAAGTTAAATGTAGAATTGCCATATGACCCAGCAATTCTACCCTTAGGCCTTTACCCCAAAGATTTGAAACAAGCACTCAGACAGCTCTTTGCTTGTGAATGTTCATTAGCACCATTATTTGCTATGGGCCAAAAGTGGGAATAACCCAGTGCTTGTCATGAACAGATCAATAAAGTGTGCATTCAAAGAAATGCCCCTGCCCGATGCAGTCATAAAAATGGATGAAGTTATGACCCATGTTATGAACCTCAAAATCATGAAGCTAAATGAAATGAGCCAGTCACAAAAGGACATATGTCATGTGATATGATGAAGAATCCAGATTCGGCAAATTTAAAGAGGCAGAGAGCATAGATGTCGCCAGGAGCTGGAGGGAGTGAAGGATGGGGAATTGTTGCTTAATGGATATAAGATCCCTGTTTGGGGTGATGAAGTGGCTTGAAAATAGACAATAGTGGCGGCTGCACAGCACTGTCAGTGTAGTCAGTGCCACTGGATTTACATTAAAAGATGGTGATAATGGCCAATATTATGCCACGTCAATTTTGCCACAATAAAACTCACCACAGCGGAGGACAGTCTCCTGGTCAGAAGTCTTCTTCCTGCCCTTCCCAGTTCCATGGCACAGCTTCCATCCTGGGAAGTGTTTTCCTAAAAAGGGATTTCTCCACACGTGAATCGCTGGTGAAAACTCCAAAAGACACCCAGCAGTAAACATATCAATTTTTCTCTCTTCCATTTGAAAGAGAACAAAATATTTCCAAGAGTTTCAACAAGGGTTGTGAAAATACTCTGCCTGAATTATTGTTCCTCTTTTGAAGACAGCCATTAGCCCTTCCCCTCAGCTTAGGGAAAGCAACAGCAGTAGTGCCTACAGGTGCTGATGTCTTTGTTCCACATAGTTGTGAGTTTGCCTGGTGAGAGAGATGAAGGGTGAGTGCCTGGCTGTGGGCAGCATCATTAAACTCTGCTTGCTGAAGCATTTCAGGTAGTACCTAGGGCAGGCTGACAACAGAGGCCTGGCAGGATTTGAAAGCAGCAGCCACAGACAGTTCTTGTGATTCCGTCTTTGTAGATGCCACCAAGGCAGAGGGGATCAAGAAGGTCCAGAGTGTCAGCATATTCGTAGTAAATTGGTGCCTTTCTTTAAGCACTGGTTTTAGGTATCTTGTGGTACTTTTTATTCCCTTTCTAGAACATTCCATTTGGAGTGAGTGACACCCTTTGCATTCTCTACCCATCATGCTCTGTGCTCTGCTGGCAAGTGATTGTGTGATGTAAAGTGCTTCTCAAGGAGTGGGGAGAGAACAAGGAGTAGCCCTGTGAGCTATCAGGTTCCTTGCGTGTATAGGTCTGATTTTAAATAGGTCCTGATTTTCTAGGTTTGGAGCTGAATGGCATGACAGGGATGGATGTGGCCGATGTCCCACCCCCTCTGCCTCTCAAGGGCAGCACGGCAGACTATGGGAATCTGATGGAAAACCAGGACCTGATGGGCTCACCAACACCTCCCCTGCCTCCTCCACACCAGAGGGTAAGTGTAGATCTGCAGCAGGGGGCTTTAACTACCTGTTCTGCCCAACATGACAGACGCCTGATCCAGTTGTTATCAGGTTTGCTATAGGTTAACAAGAAAAACTATAAAATGGTTCTAGATTGGATTCTGAGAGATGTCAAACTTCTAAGAACTCCAGTATGTGTGGCCTGTGGTTCTGTGTCATTGTCACTGCAGTGAAACACTCACCCCAAAATCATACTTGGAACAAGGATAAGAATAGAATGGTTGTCATTGCTTCAGAGGTCATTCTAGTGGAGACACAATTGTGAAATACTGATTTTGAGAAATAGCTTTCACGCCAAGACATCTGTCTGAGTGGGTTAAGCCTTGGCCATGTTGCCCTGTAGGGGAGGTGGCTCCTGCTGGCACCACCTTAACCCTGAAGTAGCTCCTGTCCCAATAGTTCCTCTGGCTAGCATCACACTCATGCTGGCAACTCCTGGGCATGACAGGCACTGGCTGCCCAGAGAGTCTGCAGAGGAGACTGGGCACAGCTTTTCCTCACTGTGCCTGTTACCCCTATCTTTGGTTCGCAGTGCTGGCCAGTAGTAGTGACCTTTCTAAGTGTGAGCAGCTGGCCCAAACCTCCCTTTAGCACATCGCCAGGATGGCACTCCTTGCACATTGTCAGTAATCCTGTCTCAT